TGGAGACAATCACTACTGAATGCGCAATTGCTAGCAGCGGCGCGAGGCAAGCGTTCGCATGGATTGGAGCTGTCCAGAAACAGACCGCAATCACGTGACCTCATGCGTGGCGTTAGGGGTGTAAGGCGCTACTAGGTCAATACACCCATTTGTCTTGCGTGGATACATATTCTTGTGTCCCATAATCACTTTCGCTAAATCATCTCCTTGATCAGTAAAATGAACTTTCGTTAGAATAACATGTCACTTTTGCCTTGATCATAACCGCAGACTGGTTTTAATCGCATTTAACTCGCGCTGTTGCCAAAAAATTGATGAAATGTCATGGTTCATATTCAATCGCACGAGCTTTGGGATTTAAGTTTATGCTCCCTGGATTTCCCAACGAAATATAAAAATAAATTAGTTATGTCGTGTAACAATTAATCTGCAAACTAGATGCCGTCTGTAAAATATGGTTGGTCGGTTGTTTCTCCGCGAATAAAGGGTTAATTTTCTGACGCAATCAGCATCTTCAAACTTTGAAGACAGACGCACACCAGATGTTCGCCACAGATATTGTGTGCTAACTATGAATATTTTTTGACATCTGACGGCAGGGTCACTGCAGTTTGTAGATCCTCAAATCTACTGGAAACCGATAAGGTTCTGGGAAATATCCTCAATAGAATGGCCCTCAAAAGCTCGGTACCTAATGCCACCCTGTGGAATTTACTATCATTATAACTGCTACATCCATTTTGAAACCGAAGTTTTCCGATGTTTGGTAAGTATTTCTGAAAAAAATTTTCTTCAAACTGCACTTTCATCGGTTATCCGAAGATCGTAACCAATACGCTGCATAGAATACATATTATTCAGCCCCATGTACACCAATTCATTAGGTTGCACATAAGATCAGAATGAAACTTATATATTTTGAAGAATATACCGATGTGGGTAGTATTACAGGCAAAGACAAAAGAGACTTGAATGGCCATTTCTGGCTTATTGACCGTCGTTAGCCAGTCATACTCAGACTCAAGTGGTGTCCCATCAGAGCCTCGAACTCCCCTGACACAGACCGGCGAGACAACGAGTTCGTGGCTCAGTAGTCAGGGCGTTTGACTCTGATCAAAAAAGGTTGCGAATTCGAGGCTCGGGTGGGATATCACTTGGGTCGGGGTGACTGATTCATGACGGCTAATAAGCCAGAAATGACCATTCTAGTTGCCCTTGACTTTGCTGACAATACTATCTGCCTACTACTAACTGTTACGGCTGTCAGGGCGTCTGTCGAGGCCCAAAATAGAGCAGGGCAGATGAGTTACGTTAGAGGTCAGGTAAACGTTCATCAAAGAGTATACCGACGTGATAGTTTAGCGCTATCCTATTTTTGTCGTACATACATTCCTCCCTTCAATAAACCATGCTTCTTCCCAAGAACTGAGTATCTCCGCATTCATTGTTCTGACGCAAGGACGGCCGAGGCTCTACTTAGAAGGAGTTACTACAAGTTATCAAGGAGCCGCTACGTACCTTTTAGAGGCTCGCTTACTAAAGTAGACATCATTCTGGAGCATAAACACTGCAGTTCTTCAATGGGTAGTTGAGTATTGTCTCTGGCGAAAACCATCGTGAAATAAAGAATTCATCAGCCCTAGGTTCCTGCAAAGGATCCTGGCAGTCGAAACGCCTCCAAGGTTCATCCGGTAGTAAGTATAGCCACTTTGGTTAATAGGTCAGCAACCAGTTATCGGGGGTGGTATGTGGGGTCAAGCACACTGCACCCCACAACGAATTATCCCAAAGAAATTCTCGATAGAGCAACTAGCGCTACGGTGAAGGACTGGATTCCATCAAGTCTCACCTTCCCATGATACCTAATGTCAATTTTGGTGAATGTATGACATCAGTTTTTACTAGCCTCCCCCCCATGGAAATGCCGTGATGGATACAGGAGAATAGGGATAGACCGCTATATTTGCAAGTCAGCTGAAAGGATGAGAACTAGTAAATGAACGTGAAAGACAATCGGCTTAGTGGAATCGGTGAGTGTGGAGGGGACGACGAGATGGTACAAAAAGAATCCGGAGGAACATTAACAGACAGCGCGGTTAGTAACTAACACTCTGCATTAACGCGGACTCCTCGTCCTTGGAGTAGTTCAAGGCCATTACAAGAGCCTTAAGCATGGCCTGCCGACTGCTCAGGGAAGAGGCGGAACCGACGAGAAGGTTGAATATGACATTCTTCACGTAGACCAGACTGGAGTTATCAGTGGCTTTAGATGCCTCATTCAAGTGACGTTCCCGAAGGGTTTCCATCAAGTTCTGCTTCTCCTCTCGGTGTTGTGTCTCCACGACGGCAAGCCGCTGCTCGAGATCATACTTGGCCTTCCGTAAACGCTTCAGTTCTACGGAACTTGCGTTTGAAAGTGATAGAAAGTAAAGTGAGTTATTTGGAAAGTCAGTAATTACCACTAATACGATCTTAATACATTAAGAGCAGTACCCAGGGTCAGATGTGACTTAGATTGAACTCATCCTATCATACTAAACAATGCATATTGCAAAAGCTCGTCATGCATCAATCCCTAAAATGCAAGTACTGGTAAACAGTGATGAAAGAATTACAACTCAAAGAGGCGTCGCAACCTACGGTAAATCCAACTGGACTACGGCAACCACA